ATTACAATGTAGCATTCAAAAATACATACAACCCAAAATTTTTACTTTTTTATTATCAACCCCTAGTTTTTTTATATGGCATAACAACGTTTGCCGGGTCAGCCAATATATATTTCCATAGTGGCCCAAGTTGGCCGATAGTGGCCCAATATACAGGGTGACTGGTGAATTACTATCAATATTTAAGGAGAATACTCGGTACATGATTCTCATTCGAATTTTGTAAAAAAAATAGGTACTTAATTTTTGACCAAATTTATGATAAATAAATAAAGTGTGGATACGTTCCAAGTGTTCCAAGTGTGGACGCGTGCGGCGGCGTGCTGATACAACACCACGTCACGACACGCGTATGTGTGAGTGTGTGTGTATACCTAATCTGTAGGGTGTTCACACGATGCGTAATTAATTACATAACTTTTGGTTAACTTTACTTAGAAGTTTATTAATATTTATGTTATATTAATTTTTATTTTGTCATATATGATCGTCAAATATCACGTCCTCAAGTATCGATAGTAATTCACCAGTCACCCTGTATATGTATATTTTTTTTTCGTTGCGTCATTAGAAATTGATCAGTGAAAGTAGCTTCAAATACAACTTAATCAGAAATTAATTGACATGTCGCAGTTAATGGCGCCAGATAGGATTTTCACATATCATTCTGTATAATTGGCTATCGAATATTAGATTTTGGTCATTTTAATTTTAACCGAAATTATATTATCACTTTGACATGAGTAGAAATAGTTTTAGTTTTAATATAAAGTTTGATATTGAGAGTTAAAATTACTGAATCAATCGCTATGAAACTATAGAAGTTTTAGTCCCTACTAATATTATAAATGCGAAAGTAACTCTGTCTGTCTGTCTGTCTATTACGCTTTCACGCCTAAACCACTGAACTAATTTTAATGAAATTTGATACAGAGATAGAGTTGACCTTGAGAAAGAACATGGGATAGTTTTTACCCAGACTTTTGAAAGGTTCTCTTGGAAACGCGATATAACCGAACTCGACGCGGACGAAGCTGCGGGCGGAAAACTAGTATGAGAATAATTAAATATAGTTTATTGGTAAGAAAAATATTATTGTATTCTTCACATATACATAATATGTATATAGTGAAGGAAAACATCGTGAGGAAACGTGAACGTACAATCACAATTATAAGTTTGAAATCACCAACCTGTCTTGAGCAAGCGTGATGATTAATGCTCAAACCTTCTCCATGTGAGAAGAGACAGCTCAGCAGTGGGCTCTGATAGGATGATGATGATGATGTATATAGATTTACTTTTAATAAATAAATTAACATAGCTTATGCACTAGCTTCTAAATGAACTGAGGAATTGAGTTTAAAGAGAAATTGACGTATGATTTATACATAACAAAAATGAAAAAATACTCCGAGTTAAGTGAGTACCACAAGTTTTCATACACTACATACGTATAGTTTCCCGTTTCTCATTCAATACTACGTTAATACTATAATGTGTGAAGTTATGAATGAAATACTGTTAACGCTACGTATGTAGTGACGATGCAAGCTTAGAGTTAGCATATTTTTCTCACAAGTAGCTTTAAAAAATACACGAAATTTATGAATAAATTATTTTACATATCCTGATACAACTACATCGGTAGAAGTTTCATCATAATTCGTACAGCATATATATATGTATATACTAGAAGACCCGGCGAACTTCGTATCGCCCTATAATCAAGAAATATCTGTTACGTTTTTTTATTTATATTTTTGGATTTTACCTATTAAAGCCGTAAATCTCCGTGTTTTGAAGTGCGACAGAATGATTGACATATTAGTTAGTTGTCAAATCTAATGTCAAAAAAAAACGTTTGTATCAACAAATACTATTAAATTAAAAGAACATTGTCCGGTGGACAAAATTGTGAATCTAAAACATTCCCAGATCCCCTTGAACACACACAAAAAATTTCACCAAAATCGGTCCGGTCGTTTGAGGGAAGTTCAGTGACATACACAGTCACAGAAGAATTATATATATAAAGATATATCGAAGCACTGCTTCTCATGCTGTGAGGCGTGACGAAGTTGACCTTCGCGCTTGAATGATGAAGAAAGTGGATCCTAAGGAGTAATTTTAAACTTGTAAAACATATTGTTTTAAATATTATTATATAAAATAATTGATTGTTGATATTACTGCATCAGAAGACCAGAATATACAGGGTGACTGGTGAATTACCATCGATATTTGAGGACGTGATATTTGACGATCATATATGACAGAATAAAAATTAATATAACATAAATATTAATAAACTTCTAAGTAAAGTTAACCAAAAGTTATGTAAATAATTACGCATCGTGTGAACACCCTACAGATTAGGTATACACACACACTCACACACGCCGCACGCGTCCACACTTGGAACACTTGGAACGTGTACACACTTTATTTATTTATACGGAAATTTGGTCAAAAATTAAGTACCTATTTTTTTTACATAATTCGAATGAGAATCATGTATTGAGTATGCTCCTTAAATATTAAAATAACTTATGAAAACCTACTAATATTATAAATACGAAAGTAACTCTGTCTGTCTGTCTGTTACGCTTTCACGCCTAAACCACTGAACTGATTTTAATGAAATTTGGTACAGATATAGAGTTGACCTTGAGAAAGAACATAGGATAGTTTTTATCCCAGACTTTTGAAAGGTTCTCTTGGAAACGCGACACAACCGAACTCCTATGTATATTTTTTCGCTTCTATTATATTAATTTAACATTATAAATATGTTGCATATATTAGATTAAGTAATTGGACATATTATATATATAAATTCAGTGAAGCTACTTCATCGTTTTGCTACTGAACCGTTTTTTAGTGACCTGGCTCACAATTTTCGACCCTAAACTTAAAATTACTGATCCCATCTACCAGTGGCGGCGTAAGGCGTGGGCGACGTGGGCCACCGCCTACGGCCTCGCGGTACAAGGGGCCTCGCGCCTCAAAAAATTTTTAAAGCGAGAAAAAAATATATAAATAAATCAATTTTGTTGATAATGATATTTTCTTAGACTGGCAACATTTGCCGCCTACCAGAATGCGGGTTTTACCCTGGTTTTACCCCTGGCGTTACGCGCATACCAAAAAAAACGTATGTACATATATAATTGTGTTATCAATATTGTTTATTTTTATGACTGTACTTACCAATTTTGATAAGAATAGTGTAGCCAATGTTTTAATAATATTTAGCGAATAAATAGATAGTGTTTAAGTATATTGATTGCCCCCGAAAACAGTGACGTTTTTAATTGTTTTTGTTTTCTTTGTGATTTGTAATACACACCGGTGTATTACAAATCACACACAGGTACCGACCTGTACTCGTCTTTATTTCATTAAGTAACAAATATTTAATTGGTAACAAGTATGTAACGCAATAATTACTAGTATATAAAATACGCTTTATACTGTGTTTTAAAGGAAACCAAAGCTTTAAGGGTAAAAATGGTATCGACGATTAAGTTTTTAAAACTAGCTGGTAGTAAGAGCTTCAGGTTGCCATAGAATAGGGCCTCGCGAAATCTGTTTTGCCCACATCGAATTTAGGTCTTGCCCCGCCACTGCCATCTACATTTCTATTTGATACAACCACCCCATATAACTGATCAATGTAACATAAAACCTCGTCTCTGTACATTCATATATTAATACACTTAATAATTTTAATTAATAATTAATACACTTCACTTTATAACTAAAATATAACTAATAACTAAAATATAACTAATAAGTTAGTATGTTTACTTTTGACCAAAATACTTCGACTCACTCAAACGAAATTTTCACGTAATAATGAAATTAAAATCCTATCTTTTGGGTAATCCAAACCAATAATAATAAATCATATTTAATAATTTTGTCAGTGATAGCCTACTGGGTTAAAGGCCCGCCTCTCATGCATGAGGTCGCGGGTTCGATCCTGGCAAGTACCAATGTGATTTTTCCGTGTCATATGTACTTTCTAAGAGTATTTAGACATAACTAATTAATGCATTTACAAAGAGGGTTGATGTCAGGCAGGCGGCCGGTCGTAAAAACAATTACCCAAAACTATTTACAACATGTAAGGCAGACCCTGGTTATAGCTAGGAAATTGACAGGTAGAAGAAGAAGAAGATAAATAATATATAATCAATATAAGTATTAATTTAAATATATTACTAGTGATTTGAAAAATATGTATATCATTGTAATCAATGAATGAAATGTTTGATGACTTGTTCAATGAATCATTATTCATTATTAGACGTACAGTTAGAGTAAAAGTAACACAACTGATAAAAAAGTATAACATTTGGGTTGTATGTATTTTTTATTGCTACATTATAAAAAATAAAAACAAAAAATTTAGTACGAAAAAAAAAATTAAGGGTGAAAAACCCTTATGACTTAGGGGTATGAAAAATTGATGTTGGCCGATTCTCAGACCTACTCAATATGCTCACAAAATTTCATCAAAATCGATCCAGCCGTTTCGGAGGAATTCTCTATCTAACACCGCGACACGAGAATTTTAATAATTAATATTTATGTTATATTAATTTTTATTTTGTCATATATGATCGTCAAATATCACGTCCTCAAGTATCGATAGTAATTCACCAGTCACCCTGTATAAGATATTAAAATTGAGAACCTCTTTCTTTATAGTCAGTTTTAAATTCCATTTAATCCCATTTATATTGTGTATATGTCTTTACAACTGTATATATGTATATAATTCAATATTTTTATATTATATACTAGGATATAACAAACACTTAGCTTTCTTTTATAACTATCTTCAATTAAAAACTACTAAGAAACCATTTTGGATATCATTTAGATCCCTAACAAATAAGTAAAAATATTATATTGTTCCATTGAAATGCTTACTAAAATCTAGATAATAAGTAATATTCTTTATATAAATTAATATTATTTGAGCTCACCTCATCAACCTTCAAGTCCTCCATACTCCTGCTTTGAACAGCATTCAAGGCACCATATTCACTTTTACATTTCACTTCAACAAACGGCACATCGTATATGTGTTCATTGACAAAGAACTCGGACTTCTCATCGCGGCATTTACAACTTAAATGGCATTTGAAGCCCTCGGATGTGGCATTCGATTGGCATTTCGAGCATTTCTCGGATAGAAACGTGCTTATTCTGTCCGTATTCAACTGATCGTTGCTGCATGTGTGACAAGCTTCGGCACTTAATCGAGTGTACGGCAAGCTGAGAGTTGAATTGTTGATTATGGCACAGTTTAATGAGTTAAAGCATTTGGATAAAGGATCTCGGAGGCTCTGGTTTACCGGATTTAAGCCCCTCTGTGTGATATCAAGTAATTCGGTGCATAGATAGTGAATTTCCTTTGGTTTTGCCTGTTCTATCTTAACATCGTGAATAGGTTTATCATGAACCGCTTCTCGTTTCTGTAATACAAGTTCGAGTTTCTCGAGCATTTTCTTTGTGTCTTTCTTTTCCGGAGATTCTTGTATTGTTGGGGCAGCGAAGGTTCGTGGAGGTTTTTTAGGTGGTGGGCCGGGAGGTAACGGTTGTTTCAAAGCCTTCTTGAGAGTATCGGTCAGAATGAGATGAGGATTCTTACGTTCCAGCTTCATAGTTTCACTGGAGGCGGAAATATCATTCATTGCTTCTAAGTTCGGCTTTACATCTTCATTGGGAGCTTGCTCATATTGTGAGACGAGTTTCTTTATTTTGTTCTTCTCTTCTTCAATGTTCTCCGTCTCGGAACTAACTCCACTATCAGTCATGGAGTCTTGACGATTATCTGACTTACTTTTCACTACCTTGGCATATTGGTCTAGAATGTGTTTGGGAACCTCGGAATCCGGAATCGAATCTGATACTTTAGCATCAACATCATCACTTGAATTAATATGATCGGGAGGTACAAAGTTCTCTTTCTTCATTTGTTCCTCTAGGAAATTACCGAGAAGCTTCAATCGCTCCTTACTAAGTTTTCTATCACCCATTTTCAATGTAAAGTCACTAGTTTCAGATCTACCATTACAACTGCCGTGACGTTTAGGACTTTGGTTGATTTTCTGGCTACGGTCACAACGAAATGCATGACTTCTGTGTAACTTCTTGCCTGGGTCACTTATTTGTCGTGTTAAAGACGTTTTTGTATCAGTCAATGATCTTTTCACGTCGCTTTTGCTATATAAGTAACTGGTATTCGGTTTGGGCGACCATTCATCGTCGACTTTGTTTTCAAAGCTGGGTTTTGTTTCGATATTTTCAATATTTACATTTCGTGTGGTCTGCGACGTTTGAATAAACTGTTTATTCAGATGGTTCACTTTCCTGCCGACGAGCACTTCGTTCTCAGTTTTCAAACTCTCAAATTTACTTTTTATAGCTTGCACTCTATTTTTTGGCTGAGCTAACATTATTTTAAAATGACAAAATACATTTTCGATATTAAGTTCGAATTACACAATCAACTTTTTAAAAACTCTGTTTATAGCACTAGAATGTTTTTATAAATATCCGTGTCATACATTTATTACGAAAAAGTTTGGCTAATTTAAAAAACTAATTAAAAAAAGCAGGACGTTGTACGTTATCAGCCTGTTGTTTTTTTAATCAATATGTATCACTTTGATGATTAACACTTAAAACACGTATAAATCCAGTTACGAGACTGCACTTTTAACAATTAATATTAAATTATAATCTATTGGCACATTTTCAAATCACAATAAGATTATTTCGAAACACCATTGTACTGTATTCGCTTGACAGAAAGTTTACATAAACAGTTGTTCGTATCTTGAGGGCATGGCACTGAATAGATTGCCAGTACAATAAATATATTTTCCCGAAAAATTAAATAAAATGTACTTCGGCAATAAAAAACCAAATTAGAAAAATCATTAATTTTAAATTATTTTCATACTAAAAAATTTGCAATTATATTTATAAGACATGTCAAAGCCAAAAAAGTTGATATCGGATTTATTGCTTCATAAAGTCATAAATAATATTTTCAATAGAAAAGTCTATTTTAAATCACAGTTTATTTAAATACATTGAATGAAACGCTTACTTTGTTTTATAAAACGTTCTAAATGTAATTAGAATTAATACAATGTAGGTAATTATGAAATATTGGAAAGATAAACACAAGTCACATACGGAAACATTCTGCAAGTAAACAAATGCAGAGGCAATAATTATAAATAAGCAAATGGAGGGTTATACGAATGACCCCGTCTGACAGGTATAATTTATAACTATTTTATCATTATTAATTGCAGTGAATAACAATTATAGTATAGCAATTATCACGTTACTAATAATAAAGTCGAGAGCGCCATCTCTTGGAATTTATTCACATACCTACACAATGTATATTTCACAAACACTTACACATACAGTATTTTACAAATAAACTGAATATAAATAAAACCAACTCTTTTTATATTTAAACATTTTTATAATATTAGGATATTAAGTTATTGAGTATTTATAGTATATTTATCTAAGCGCCATCTCCATACGGTACAATAACATTGTAGTAACTGTAAATACTTATTTGTTTATATGATTTTTACTAGATGACGCTTTAGACAATATTTAAAAAATATAAGGTAACTTAATTGAAAACGATTTTTTCTTAAATAATATAAATATTTAAGTGATGATAAATTTAAATCTATTAGAGTTATATAAGTGTGTGGAAAATAATCAGTTTAAATGAATAAATTCCCATTTGCTTAAGAAGTATTTGAATTGTTTGAAAAAGATTTAAATGACCTGTACCATGCCATAGATGGCGCTGTAGAATATTTATGAATCATCATTAAAAACTAATAAAGTCTAACACTATATGTATTTTCTAAAAAAAAAGATGACTCAATGTTTTATTGACATTGAATAAATCTTAATATTAAAAATGCAAGCCAAAATAAAATACGGAAACCGAACCATATATTTTGATAGTGATCAGGCTATTAACGACACCTAAGTAAGGATAAAACGGAAGTATGAATGACTTTATTAAAAAAATGACAAATATTTATCACTAATATGTCCTCGTTTCAAAAGCTGTTATAAAATTTTAAAAAAACCCCGTCGACGTCAACCAACGGAATATTTACGTCAAATATTAACTTAATATTCATTTTATTCGCTATTTTCGCATTCATTTCTAACTAAAAATACAAAATACAGTAACTAATACATATTATTACTAAATAGTAAAGTTTAAAGTTAAAATCTGGCTAGTAATTTCGTTTCTTTGTAAGAAGAGTCCGCTTGTATACAAATAAAAACAAAACTGTCAAAAGTTCAACGACCTTTCGTAACTGTATCACAAACGCACATGACAACGAAATGACAACCTAATTTGTTTCATAACTGTTTTCGGATTCAGGAAGTAAAAAGATTAATTTAAAGTTCCCTTTTTATTACTATTTATACTTTAAATTGTACATTATACATTTGGAATCTCGTATGATACTTGTAAGGTGAAAGTAACAAGCCAAATCTTACAATCAAAATTAGAAACGCGTGTTGTACAGATGTAATTTGGATTGTACATTATATTTTATGTTAAATTTGTTTTGTTTGGATAATTTTCATTATTTTTAGGGTTCCGTATTTCAAGGGTATGACGGAATCTTTTAATCACGATTGTTAGACAAATTAAATTGTTACATATTATACAAAACATAATAATATAAACATTTAAGTGTGATTTTTTATACGTTAAATGATTTTTGATTTTGTAGATAGTATCAAGTATGGATTCGTTTGTGGGTGAATTAATTTTAGTATAGATCAGACTCTTACTACAACTTTTGCGTTTTTAATAAGATGAAACCTCTCATCATTCCACGTATTCACGGTGCGTGTGTCGGGTCCATCGTTGTAGTGAGAGGAGCTTCAACAGTGACTGTGACTTGTGACCCAGGTGTAGGTTTAAGGGACCCCTATCTAACGCGTTAAACGATCACCTCCACCGTACAAGTTCCTCTCTTTACCACATTTGAAACGAACCTACTAGGGCTATCTTCGAAGTACGTTCCAAGAATGAATTGATATTAGTTCTGGACGGGCCCAAGTCTTTTAGTAGGTTGTAGAGAGATTTAGCTGTTATACCTCTCGCTCCCACCTCTATCGCGTACATGATAAATATCAAAGACTAGTTTTTGCCCGCGACTTCGTCCGCGTTAGTTTGGTCAAGAGTAATATATGTAGGTATAGCTGACCAGGCGAACTCTATTCCGTCTTAGAGGCCATAAATAATAATAATAATAAATTTTTCTCACCTTTTGAACCTTCCCTGGACTTCCAAGAGTATTTCAAGACTAAAATTAGCCAAATCGGTTCAACCGTTCTCGAGTTTTAGCGAGACTAAGGAACAGCAATCCATTTTTATATATATAGAAGATTTATCCCACAAAAACTGTGAAAAAAAGTAAAGTAGTTGAAATCTTGTGTTAACACGAATTTTTTTCTTTTTTCTCTCTCATAATAATATTAATATAAGTATATAAATGAATTGGAAGATAAATGAGAATTACTTAATTAAATCGAAATTATGAATATTTAAAAGAAATATTGATTTTTATTGTCATGTAATATTGCAAAGCCAGTTTCATTGAGCTGGTTCTTAGCTTTGTTTGGTTAATATCGGTCCAGCAGTTAAAGAGTATCAGCTCTGCACAAAAATGATGTACAGCATTTTCGACCTGTGACTCCTCGGGGTCTTAACGACTGAAAATGTAATCGTTTAATGAAAATTTAAACGTTTTTTTATATATTTAATATATTTTTAATTTTCGGGAGACTTAAAATATTATTATTACTTTACTTATATATATAATTATTTTTTATTCTTTACTAATATAGTTTTACATTTATACTTCGTAATCATTAATTCTAATTAATTAAAATTAATATTCAAACTATATAAGACTACTATTACGCTTACCATTAGTGCACATCTCACAAAATACGACATTTCTAAAGTTTTTCATTCATAAACTACATTATTGAATAATTCTTCTTCTACCTGGTAATTTCCCAGCTTTAGCCAGTCTGCCTTACGTGTTGTGAATAGTTTTGGCTAATTGTTTTTACGTCCGGCCGCCTGCCTGACATCAACCCTCTTTGGGAATGCATTAATCAGTGATGTCTAAATACTCTTTTAAAGTACAAATGACTCGGAAACATCACGTTGGTACTTGCCAGGGCCATATTATTGTATACGAAACCGAATATATGTTACAATTTCTGTTAATCAAAATATAACCAGGATCTATATAACATTGGAGCCCAATTATTATAATCTGACCCTTGACCTTCGACCTATATTAATGACCTTGACACTTGACAATTGATATAAGAAGCAATTAAATAACAACAAACGAACATCTAGTTACAAAATCGACCTTCACATATATATATCATATCCTAATTAATTTTCTTATATACATATAATATTAGATTTAAACTATATTAATTAATATTTAAATTAAGGTTACTTGGTTGGTTAGTTGAACTCAATTAGTTTTTTAATTTAAAATGGTATCTATCGAGCGTTAAACACGTTAGATAGGGGTCCCTTAAACCTACACCTGGGTCACAAGTCACAGTCACTGTTGAAGCTCCTCTCACTACAACGGTGGACCCGACACACGCACCGTGAATACATGGAATGATGAGAAGATTCGTCTCGTCGTTAATTTTAACCGAATACGTTATTTTAACTAGAGTTAGTAAAACTAACTAGTAGTTTATATATATGTGAATTTGGGAAGGTTCTTTGTAGTATATACAAATATATAATTATATTTCTATTACATATATATTATGTTAAATGTATACAAAAAAGTTTGATTTTTGTTATATGCTTAACACAAGTTTTCGTACACTACATACGTATAGTTTCACGTTTCTCATTCAATACTTTATACTATAATGTGAGAAGTTATTAATGAAATACTGTTAACGCTACGTATGTAGTGTTATGCAAACTTGGAGTAGGAATACAAGTTCAAACATAGTACGTATGAATTCGTACAGAGAAATATTATAACTGCTGGTAGATCTAAATTCTGTTTCATCAGACTAATCTGGATTCTATCTGTTACTATACACCTGCATTACCTTTAATATCTTCTAAAGTTAAGCCCTAGAATATCTTGTAAACGATAGTTTAAGAGCTATTCGACTTGTTAAATAAAAGGTCGTGGTGACTTAGTGGTTAAAGACGAAACTCTAATGCATGAAGGCGCGGGTTCGATCCTGCAAGTACCGATGTGATGTTCCGAGTCATATGTACTTTATAAGAGTATTCAGACACCACTGACAGACGAAGGAAAACATCGTGAGGAAATCTGGATTTATAATTTACAATTATAAGTTTGAAATCACCAAC